GCGAACCGTCACCTCATCTTTCAGTAAGTATAATTATAAAATTAGCGTATTTATATAATTATAGACATATTAATGTTACAGTTTTTTTTTAACATAATTATTTAATAAGTATTATTAAAGGTTATTTCACTATGATAACACTTTCACTAACAAATTGTTTCTTAGCGATAAGGCCGCAATTTGTACTTTTCATGTAATAGTCTTAATTAATTGTAATTTAAAATATCATGGTGTACAACAAAGTGATCATTCATTCACTCATTCATTACTTATCATTATGTGAAAAAAAACTTTTTTGAACTCATTTTGTACGTACTCGGGAAAGTGTGATTTTTTTGTATAATAAAAGTTTATATGGGGAAAGAGCGCAGAATAGTTATTTATTATACAAGAGTGGAAAGTTCCTTTTTAACCGCGTGCTCGATTTGGATGACCGAGCAAGCGAAGGATTCTAAAGTTGAATCACGAGCGCAGCGGGTGATTCTAAATTAGAATCCTGAGCGTCAGCGAGGGAAACAAACGAGCACAAGGTGAAAAATCTTTCCACTCGAGTGCAATACGTAACTTTTCATCCCACCTCAGCGAGGAAATGACAAAATGAAAAAGAAAACAATTTATAATGACAAAATATTTTTATTTCAATTAAAACACATTAAGATAATCTATAAATTGAAGAAAATAATAAGAAGTAGAAAATAATTAAGAAATATTAAATGTAACGTTGCTACAGTTACTTATGTTAAGTTTAATATTTTTGTTAGGTAATGTTATGTTGGTGTTTGTGAATTGTGCGCTGTTTTGTGGTAAACTACTCGTATCAGTAATTTTAAATAGTTGTGCCGATTCATTGGATTCTATTGGCGTAAATGTTGGCGAGAGAGGGCTATTGTTTCCAATCTTATGGGGGCTCATTTTAGATGTAGAAGGGCGAGACCAAGAATCTGACAGAGGTTCTTTCAGCGTTATGGCCTCCACGATACTATTACAAATTTTTGATTTACTTTGGATTGAATCCTCTATGTATCCCTCTACAACCGAATTAGACTTCCAGCCTCCATGGCGCTTAAGCGATAGAAGATCAGCCCCTGATTCGGCCAAAAGTGTGGCTGAGGTTCTTCTAAAACAGTGACCGGTGTATAACGGGGGTTCTAAAAGTCCGAGAAAAGTTGCTATTTCTCGTGGAATACTGCCAATTTTATTCTGACCCATAGGTTGTCGGATACACTTTCCGTTGCGATATTGTAGAAAAAATCGTTCAATTGGGGTGTTAGAAGGACGTAAAGCTTGATATTTCTGAACAATGTTTACATATTCCTTGCGAATAACGAAGTTGCGGTCTTTTTTTGTCTTGGTATTTAGTACATTAATTAATAGCAATTCATCAGAATTATGAGAATTTTTTGATACGTTATTGACATTAAGTAGTGTAAGTTCATTTGTTCGACATGCTCCGGTTATACCAATAATAAGAACAACCTGTAACAAAAGAAGTATTTATAATCGTAAATAAATTAATCAAATTAAAAATATTGTAAGTACTATGTACAATTTTATCAACAACAAAAAATTACACGTATTGACTTACTTTTGCCGCTAAATATACGGAATCAGGTGCTTCATTAATAAACTTTGCAATTTCAGATGCTGTGAAAACCTTCGATTTTTTTGGTTTATAACCAGATGAGGCTCTTTTTAAAAATGCCACTAATTTATGATAGGTGTCGATATGAACGTCTTTCTTCATCTTAATTGTTAATTTTAGCATTGAATACGTACTCCATAGCGTGCTTGCTTTCTTGGTCTCAGATAATTCTATAAAATATGCCAGCAAAACGTTTTCGGAGAAAGTTTTTGCTCCTTTAGCTAGTCGCCACATGTTAAATATATCGTACTGTTTCAAATACTTCTCTCGTGATTGCTGAGGGAGAAGGCTCATTTGCGCATTATTAACTGTTTCAGTTAACTCAGTTGGCGTTAGATAAACTTCATCGTCGCTAATGTCACTCATTTTAGTTGATTTTTTTGTACAGTTTTTAGGTTATGTTAATTATATTAAGCAATAAAACGTGAAAAACTAGAATGGCGCGAAGCACGCAAATAAAACAAAGAAACCAAGAAGGTTCCAAATTTAAATTTTTTCACAATTTAAAAAGTTCTAATCATAAATTTGGCACCATAGAGGTTACATTAAATAGGTTTAATGACGTTTTGAATTTACAATTATATTGAGTACTCATTATATGTGATGTTCTAAATTCAAATCTACTTTGCCGCTCAAGCGAATAAAATAGAATTTTCCAGCCAGATTTCGAAGCGCAAAATTACACTTTCCGAGGTGGTGGGATGAAAAGGTTTTTTTTATATATGCTAGAGGTCCCATGCGGTTTCACCCGCGTTAATTTGAAGGAAAAGGTACTTTTTGGTATTTTTTACACACGTTGGATTACATTATCGAAGTTTTCATACGGAACCCTAACTTTTTTTAAAATACAATATAGCCTATATTAATCAGTGATAATGTAGCATTCAAATGGTAAAAGAATTTTTGAAATCGGTCTAGTACTTTTTTAGCCAATTCGTTACAAACATACTTACATACAAATCCTTCCTCTTTATAATATGAGTATAGATAAGTAACGGTCAGATAAGAATACATAAAAGAATCATCAAACACACTACCATGTGTTTGGAAGACACACAATCACTAGACTACTAGTCAAGAAATGTGAAAGTATATTTTTTATATAGCTTTTTGATAGTCCACGAAAAAATAAAAAAAATGGGTGCGTGTACTTATGTAGGCGCGTGAGAAGTTATCCTTCTTTGGCATCGTTTAAAATTAGTTTTTAATTGCATGCAAATAATTAATTACAATAAATTAATAAAAAGTCTGGAAAATGACACAGTCAATAAATGTCAGTTTTAATTTGAAAAAATAAATAAATAATCAAAATATTCAATTAAAATCGCTACTGAATATAATTTATTAGAACATATGTGATTTGCACTTGTATGAAACTCAAACACGTATTCCGAATATACAAACTAGAAACATGTGGATAAATATTATAAATATGAATAACTATAACTAACTGTTACTTTATTACAAAAAATAAAGATGTGGTTTTTGGTTCTACAACACCAATGGTCAAGAGATGGCGCTGTAGTCTCCTGAATCGCGCTTTGGTTCCGTTGTTCCAGATTAATAAATACTTTTGATAGGCCTTCACAATGCAGTCGTTAGCACCCACTAAATAGAGATTCTATTTCTATTTTGTTGGTAGATTTTCTTAATGTGCGGTAAACACAAAAGTAACGCAAATTTTGTGTTACAGTGATGCGCGCGCATCTTAAAATTTCACTCTCATCATTTTTTCATAACGCGCCTAAAGAAGTATAACTTCAAAAAAAAAACAATTGCAGAATTTTCATTTCTTTCTCATAATGCAATTGGTTTTTTTTATAGATAGGTCCGACAAATGACTCCACCCCACCTGATGTTAAGTGACGGGGAAGTCCAGACGGGAAAATAGCTGATACAGCAGTTCTACCTGCCACACCAGCCATCCTCACCAATCATCAAACAGCCATCAAACAATCTGGGTGATTGAATTTTTCATTTGTTTCATTTTAGTGATTTTTGCAAATGCCACGACAATGCGCTAACCATATGACGACCTCCGTGGCCAAGTGATTTGTACGCCGGGTTTCATGGTGTCGCCGACTCGAGAGGTCCCGGGTTCGAATCCCGGTGGGGGCAGATGTTTGTGTGATGAATACGAGCATTTGTACTCCAGTCATGGATATTTAATATGTAATTCTATATAAATATACTTACATATGTACAGTATACTCGTATGTATTCTATCCGTTACCCTAGTATCCCATAACACAAGCCTTAATAGTGCTTACTTTGGGGCTAGGCTAATTGGTGTGAGTGTTAGCAATATTTATTTATTTATTTATATCTTTTCTCTATTTTCAGGTAAGTACCTACCTACTTCAATTTGAAATGGGAGCAACTGAGAGCAACACAAATATATACTACTATTTTTTGCTAACTCTTCGGTAAGTTCAGCGCTAAATGTAGTCGCATGCATGATTAAATTAGCAATTTTCAATTAAGAATTTCTTAATCGATTTTGTATTGTGCTTCAAAAAAAAATATTATTTTCTCTTATCATAATAATACTGTAGAATTTATTTCTACAAGTAAAGATATTTTTTTATGAACTACCTCTAAAGTATGAGGACTATTTCCCTTTGTAAGTATGTAGAGACCACGTAGACACATTTGATATCCACTCGCTACGATGCAGACGTAGAAAGAAATGAACATCTATTTAAAGTTTTTTTATCAGAATAATTTTCTCTTAGCACGTACTGAAAATTCTTTTAAAAAGAACTTTAAATTATAGGTAATTCATGAAAACAATAATCTTATCTTATGAACTAAATAAACTAAAAAATATTGCAAACACGAGAAAAGCTCTTTTGTGGGCTAAAACTAATGTTATAATAAATCCACATTATTAGAAAACGTGGACTTAAGTTAAACCTGGAGTAAAACGAATGCTGTCACTTTTATTTGTTCAAATGAAGACAGAGACAACTATAGGTTTAAACCAAAACTAACTTTACTGTCCGCGTTTTGGATAAGACGCAGTATGTTTTAGTAGATTTTTCCCTCAACTTGACATGGGAGAAATAATTTTGGATATGTCTGCTAACCCTGGTGGGGACTGTAAGCAAGGGAAGATCAATAGGGGTGATGACGGGGTACAGTAAACGAAATTCTATTTAGTCCGTCAGTTAGATGATCAAAAGATAATGGACACGTATTTTTTCTTTGGGCAATCAACCAAATAATGACAAAGTTATAGCGCGTCAAAGTTTGGGAGTAAGAGCTCGTGACGTCACTTTTAAGTGAAAATTGTAACAAAACGTGACGTCATGCGACTTTTCAAATCAAAATATCTCTGCAATGTTTATATTATGTGAAAAAGAAAAATACGTGTCCAATACTTTTTGATAATCTACCTGATAAACGAAGAAAAAAAAATAGTCATCATCCCTATTGTCTGTATCTACCCCTCTGGGAATGGGGGATGACCTTATGTATCGTAATGTTAACAAAGCAGCTTTATAGTTCCCATCCATTAAATTGATTAACAAAATATCGTAGGTTGGTATTTAGAAACAGGTTATTGTCAGTACTTACTCGTTATTTCAGATCACTATCTGGTAGATTTGGTTGTTGATAAACATAGAAATAGCGTAACTTGTTAACTTAACACGGTTTGTATTGTTCAATTTTAAGATTCTCTATAAAGAACTTTAGGGCTTTTTAATTTTGGAATAATTTCGAAAAAAGAGCCGAGCTTAGGTAGCGATTAATACAGATATACATATTAATATATTGGTTATACCACAAATGAAAAAACTTCGAAAAATCATAAAAAGAAAACATAAATTATATTTTATTTGAACAGGCATTATATTAAAGAATAACTGCTCATATTACAGCAACAAAAAGAACAGATAACGTTGAAAAACCTCGCACGCCATCATAGAGCGAGCGGAGCGCTATCAAAAATCGCCCAGTCTTATGGCAACTTTTTATTTGACATTTCATACAAGTTTATTCAAACAACGATAGTATCGCAGACGTTATCTTTCAATGCAACGTTACCGCGAGCCCGGCGTGATAGCATCTCCGGGCAGCCATTGCTAGTTAAACCGACTGATAAGGGATCGAGCGGGCTTGTGTGCGTGCGTCCGTACGCGAGGGGGCGCGGTAGTGTGCCGGGGGGCGCTCGCCGCGCCAGCCAGTCACTCACTCAGCGCGGCAAAAGAATGACGGGCCGAATACACTCTGTGCAAGTTTAAAAAAAGAAATGTCAAAACAACGCTGTGCATAATTTTGTGTGCGAGCAACATCGGTTGCATGAGACCGCGGTGTGATGCTCTTGTGGCTGAGGTACCTGAAACAGCTGGAGCTGGCCTGCTCGCAACTGCCGGCAGGCGGCGCTGCCGTCGTCAAAACAATGTGTAAGCGTCCACTTGTTTATTTATATTGTCTCCGTTATCTATCTCGCATGTGTGTGCTCGTGCCTTACAAATTTCAAAAACATCACATTATTATTTTTTCTCTCATAAATTACTTCTATTATTCATATCGAAATATTCTGTCTTGCATATTTAGTAACGAACTCAAATTTATAAAGAAATTTCTAAGTGAAATGATTAATTTTGAATTAGGCATTTAATCGTATGCTTATTTACCCGGATTCTAAGAGTTTACTCGCTAATATTGTTCGGATATTACCCTATCGGAGGAGTCAGATGTTAGTATCGTTGAAAACGCAATCTAAATTGTTGATTTCAGTTATTTTTTTCTTCTTAGGTACATACGTAAACCGTACAATTATCTAAGGCCATTATTTCTTGCGAGCACAAGTAGATGTTTCGACGGAAAGATGATAAAAACATCGTTAAGATTGTTCGTCTTTTATCTTGTTTGTAATTCTGATAGCCGTAACAGTTGCCTGTATGTAAACACTATTTTTAATATATTCTACTTTATTTGCGATGAGAATGAACATAAATATGGTAGATAAAATACGATAATGCCTAACCTTTTGGCGGTTGTTTTTGAAATAAAGTAGGTTGTTTTGGCTAGCTATACTTCCTACTTTTTCTTGTCACTTTTTAAAAGAGTTTTACTTAATTTTTTTACTAATTACAAGATAAACTCAAATCGATGTTCCATTTCTGAATTCGGATTCCAGAACTTCTTTTGTTTATTCCAAGAATACCATTTTGCAAGCTTTTTTAAGTACACCGAAAGATTATCGTGAAGCAAGCTTTACGGCGTTTCATACAGCGATTTATAAGACAATTTTAACACTTTATATCGTATCTCACTTTATATTATCTGTTTAATTTACGGCAGGCCCGCGTATCCGAGATCCAATCCCCGAGATCACGACACTCGGTTGATTGTAATCAGATATTCAATGGCATCAAGATAAAAACTGGCAATGTCAAAATGAGCGATTTGAAATTCCGTGCGTGTGTGGCTCGTTTGTGTTTTGACAGCAGCTGTCAATGTCAAACGTGTCAAAGTCGTGCATGCCCTTTAATAGATCATCCAGATGCACGCATTAATACAAATAACTATAAGTTTAACCTTTAATAGTTATTGCATTCGGTGCCTATCTGTTAATCTATAAACAAGATGTCATGGTAATGTACGAGTATGTAGTCTTGCCTACTTTGTTAACAAAAATAAAAGAAATTTGTTTCAAAATGTGAAGTTAAAAACATTTGTTTGGCTTTAAAAAAAATATAAAAAAGGAAACTTACACAAAGTTTCGTTAATTAAAAAAAAAAGTATTTTCACAAAGTAGGTTTCTTACACGGAACAGAGGAAAAAAAAAGATTCGTTTTTAAACGACTTCACCAAAAAGTTTCAACAACAAAAAGGTTTAGCTCTGTAGACTCTGCGGTGGTGTGACGTGAGAGAGCAGACACAGCGAGCGAACGCAGCGGAGCGGCACCCGATGGGCTGATAACGGGGGGCCTTATCTGCTCCGAGATTTCACGTCTATTATCAAAGGGGGTGTACTCGGCCCGACCAGAATGTATTGAACGAATTTCGAACGAGTCACTTCTGCGGGGGCTTTATTCACAACGTTATTGCAATGAATAAAAAGTCGCATTAATATGTGACTGTTAAAAAAATAAGGGAATTTAAGAGTATTTGTCGATAAGGATCAATTGAATCTCTTTTTCAACTTCTTTCTTTGTTAATCATATAATTTTCTTTTTCATAAGATTAGGCGATGCACATCACTTAATTCTTTCTTTATAATTTTAATAAATTATTGACAGTTGGCTGTCTACATCGCTACCAGCTAGGGATATATTTAAGTCCAAAATATATACGAACTTGTCTGACAAACTGTCCAGAAATGTTTGTATATAAATGTATATAAGTATTATATTTCCTTCACAATTCTTTCTTTTGCTAAGCCCCGGCTTTCATTCCCAGCCGGGCTAATGGAAAAAAAGCTTGCATTTGATATTGGTCAAGTATGCGCTGGCTATCTTGTAATTGAATGATAATGACACCTATTAAACATAAAAGATTATTTTAAAATAACTACCTACACAATTATTCGTATCAGTAAGTTAGCCAACAACCAGCCAGTTTCCTCCTGATAACTGATAACGGAACAAAATAACTGTAATTATTATTATAATGAGCGGATTGGCTACTAATCCGATAATTATTACATTAAAAAAAAAACATAAAGGCCAAATTGAGATCATCCTCCTTTTTGAAGTCGGTTAATAAATAAGAATAATATTCATAAAGAAAATATAACTAGAAAAAAATCCACGCGGACCAGGTAGCAGACGGGACTCGAACCCGCACCCTTCGCAATCCGGGCGAATGCACTAACCAATTATGCTTCCGCGGCCCTAACTGACGTCGAAATTCTTCTAGCCATTCTTAAGCTGCAAGGCATCGCCATTTCTTCGCATTGTAGGTAACCCACAATGTCAAATGAATACTTTTACAAGTATTAAACATTGGAAAGAAGAAACAGCAATTATAGTTATAATTTTTATTTTTTAAGCAACATCAAGCAGTAACTGCTTGATGTTTAAAACTAAAGAAAATATAACTAGAAAATATATATATATATAATAGTATTCATAATTTTACTATTTAATAAAAAAACTATTGCCATAGTCACAAATATCATGTTATACTGAAACGAGGCTTGTCTAACAGATTCTATTGTCTTTACAAAATATTTCCCAAAATAGTGTTATCTCGGCTCAACATCAGCCGGGAATCGAACTTATCACGCGGCCGTATCGCGCGCCCGCACTATCAAAGATCTCGAGTTTTTGTAGGGGGACGACCTCGAATATCATTATTATTATTATTAAGTCCCTGTGATGGACTGAGAGCGGAAGACGAAACATAGCATGCGTCTGTTGCTTATTTTTTCGTGGAGTAGTTTTTTTTTTCACATTTCGGAGACCAGCCTTCTGTTACGTGTGACCATATTCGCTTTACTAATACCGGCTAATAAGATGATTTTGAAGAAGAACAAAGAAGAATCGTTTCAGCTAAAACTTTTCACTTTTTCAAACAGAGTTTTTGACAATAATTAATTTTGTAAAACTAATAACAGAATATTAAAATGTCAATTAAATATTTTTTTGTTTATTACGCCTTATCGTATTACTCCGTGACAAATATGCCTACGGATCGCCTGATGCCTGATGTTAACTAGCCACCATAGTCTAAAACGTTTGCGTCATGAGAGTATGACTCGTGGATGACAGGTTGTCACTAACAACCCATAGTCATAGAGAAAGGAATGAGCAACACTCGCACGAAATTATGAAATTGGAAACAAAAGCAGTCAAGAGACATATGATTTTTTTTCGCTGCTGTTGGTCGCAGATGACCTTTACATCGTCACCGGGTTTGGGGACGGCGAAATCCTAAGGGGGCCTCAAGCCGAGAATTGGCGAGTGCCTCTAGAGGTATTCCAGGCGGATGGCATCACCCCACGGGAGGAGTCTCCTCTCCGTCTGGAGCCTTTAGACCACTCGAACCTGAGGGGGTCGGCTCAACTAGAAGGCGTCTCTGAGACTCAGACCTCGGCTCTAGCAAGCCGTTGTCGTGAGGGGCGGGGAAAAACGCCCAGGTATGTGTACCTGAGCGCCCTGTACCTGGTATAGCGTGTCGTGTGTAGACCGGGTATTCGCACTCTGATCCTACGGGTGCGGTGTCTGTCTAATGCTAAGCTAGTGTGCAAGTATGCCAGCTGTGAAGTGTTGGTGTTTGTGGCCTGTGTGGGAGGAGTCGGAGGCGGGAGACATACGAAGTATGAGCCACTTTATTACTTCGTCTCTTACAGTTGGTTAGGCAACCGACTCCATCCCCTACCTCGTGGCAGCACTTGTCCCAGGCTCAGGGTGGCGCTAGAAGCGGTGAATCCCTCAATGAGGATCTGGCGGTTCCACACTTAACAGCGTAAAGGTTATTAATAATAATAATATAGCCTCTTTATTTCCATAATGTACAAGTAATAAATATCATAGAATTATTCATAAGTACATGCATGGAATAATAAAATATTACAACAATTAATAATATAAATTAGATTACAATTAGCATTTTAAAATTTTCATTTCATACAATTGTCAAGTAATAATAATAATAATAAAATTCAAATTCTAAATGATAATTGAATGTCAAAGTAATTAATAATTGCATGTCATTATGGACCCCTCAACGAGTAAAGGCCTCCTCCATTTTGCTCCACGTCTGTCTGTCCTTTGCTTTTGTAGTCCAATTTTCACCAGCCTTTCTTATTACTTCATTAAACCACTTTTCTCTCGGTCTACCTCTTTGCCTTTTATTTGTAGGTCCCGTAAAGGGTATTCGCAGGGTTTTTTAGAGGATAGTATGCCGTAAGCGCTCGTAAGCCGCACGGACTGCTTAACGGCTTCTCCATTTCTCACCCGTGAGACTGGCTAGGCTATGTGTGAGATCCGTTCGTTGTTGTACCCCTTAAGGGCGCCAACGCCCTGTTAAAAAAGGTCACAATGGCGCTAATTATTGACGTTATTTTCCTAAACAACCTCTTTAGATTTTAGAAGTAATTATGTGAAAACAAAAGTTTGCTACTGTCAAAATTAACGACAAATCGTCTGCGTGTTTTGCCAACAGTGCTGCGTTCGTTCCGTGTTGTTAGTGAGAGATTTATGCGCGGTGGGCCGGGCCACTCACGCGCAACCTAATTGATTCCACGGGGCGGGCCGGTGGAAAGGTCGGGTCGCCTCGCCGGTTCGACGTCTGATGTCGACGGACCCGAATCTTGTACGACACGTGTTGTCGATTACGACAAAAGCTCGATTGGTGGATGGCTCGAATAAAGTTTTTAAGTATTTGTTTCTTAGGTTTTTCACGCACGCCACTCATTAAATAAAATAAGTTTCAACGGTGTAGATACACT